TTTAAATGTAATTTTAATTTAAACCATTAATTATAATAACATTTAAAATTACAAAATTAATTCAAATGCTTATTTCTACTATTAAAAAAACCCTTGGTCCAAATTATGAAGACATGTATATGAGAGAGAGAGAGAGAGAAAGAGAGAGAGAAAGAAAGAAAGAAAGGATTTTGTGCCTATACTCTTCTGATACTGATACTTGATGATTGTAGCCAAAGGGTAAATACTTGCACAAGGTCATGACTTGAATGTTTTGATCTACATTTTCAACACAGACTCAGAGCTGGAGAGAGATGAAGAAATGATTCTGCATGACACATCAGACCCAGACAGATGAAAGGTGAACTAGACTACTGTACCTGTACTAAATGTCTCATCTGTGCCTATGTTTCACTGCATCACAGACCACCCTTCATCACTTTTTATAAACTTGTATCAAGCGGCTCTGACACAATTCACCTGCACTGATATCTCACATTCTGCTTAAATATAATAATCAATGTACAAAGAGCTTACTTAGTCCGATAAGAAATCTGGATTATCCCTAAAGCATCTCTAAACCAGCATTGTGTGCATTGTATAAAATTAACAGTATTTTTAGTACATGACTTTAAATTCCCATCATAAGGAAATAAATACTTCCTCTCATCCTTCTGATGAAATTTTCCAAACTTACATAGTCTTAAAATATCTTTCAAGCAAAATGAATAGAAGCACGCCTCACAATATGACACCTCGATGACAGGCTGTGCTGTTTTATTAAAACTTCTCACCTGACTGGGGTCATATCTTGAGTAAGAAAAAGAAAATGCAAATATGATAAAGGGAAGTTTCCAGCAAAAGCCTGCTGCATCCCCCTCATGTCATGCGAGTTAAAAATAACAGCAATGATCTGAAAGCTGTTTGAAACAGAAGGTCGCTGATCAGAAAGCAGGACCTCCCAGGTGGTCAAACACCTGAACAACTGCCTTTTCACTCTGTCATTAACAATGACATCTGTGAGAAGCATGTGAACTTTATCGGAACGCTTTTGTTCACGTTGTGACTGATGTGGTCACAAACTCACAAGCTCACAATCTGTTTCATGTGCTGCATAACGTTACGCTATATTAAACAGAGGGTGTATTAAATTTCATTACCGGACTGGATACTTTACATAATAACATGCATTTGAAAAAATGACCACAAAACAAAGTTTAAAGGCCAGTTGCCATGCAAGGCGCTAACTTGCTTGTGCTGTTTAATGTGTGAGAGATGCCTTCTTCAGCTCATTACTTATGTCTTACTATTATATTCTATGTTGTGCAAATGCTAAAAACTAAAAATCACAGACATATTTCCATTTTGCAAAACGGTTTGTCTTAACAGTGAGCAATTTGGCATTTAACTTCATGCAACAGAGAAAGAAGTGCTGTAATTTTGAGTAAAACTTGTATTTAGAGAATAGTTGGTGAGTGTCAAACTGAAACTACCGTTCAAACGCTTGGGGTCGTAAAATGTTTTCATGTTTTTGAAAGGAGTTTCTTATGCTCTCTATTTTAATATATTTAAGATAATTTATTCCTGTGATTGCAAAGTTGAACTTTCAGTAGCCATTACTCCTGTCTTCAGGGTCACATGATCCTTCAGAATAATTTCTTATTATCAACGCTAAAAACATTTGTGCTATGTAATATTTTTGTGGAAACTGTCATGCATTTGTTCAGGATTCTTTGATGAACAGAAAGTTCAAAAGAACAGCATTTATTTGAAATCTTTTAAGATTATAAATGCCTTTGCTGTCACTTTTGATCAATTTAATCCATCTTTGCGGAATAAAAGTATTAATTTATTTAAAACTTTTGATCAGTAATGTACACTAGAAATTATATTTTAGAAGAAGTAACTAACAGGATTATAAAAGACTTTACAGTAATAAGTACATTTCATAAATAATAAAATACTACAGCTCTTTAAAATAACGACTTTTAAAATTCCTTACAGTATAAAATAAAAAATAAATGTAAAAAATGCAATAAAAATGGTCAGTAAGATTTTTTATTTTTTATCTACAGTCACCTTGGACTCTACCCATTTCATAATGTCTATGCTACATTAGGACACAATCAGAAATCCCTCAAAAAACTAACAAACAAGCAATCCAATTTCAAAGGAACTTCGAAAGAGCAGATCATTTAAATTCGACGCTGGTGAGACCAAAAGCTGTGACAACATCTACAATTATCAACACCCCACAAAAGGAGAAACATGATGCGACACTGAATCAATTGCATCAGTCATTTTCATAGAGGCCCACATGTAGATGATCACGATGACATTTGTCATCACAATTTCCTTACAATGAGTTCTTGGTAAGTCAAATCAAGAATGAATACATCAGCCCTTTCACAGTTTCTCTCAGACCACCTACTAAGTTCTAGTGCAGCTTTCTCACTGGCTAAAATGACTATGAATGGACTATGAATTTCATAAAAACTTTAGGCAGTATTTTACAAAAACAAACATGGGGGTTTGGCTGTACATTGTCCACAAATAAGGACTTTATGCCAAATGAATCAAAAGTCCAGGCAAAAGGATGACAGCACAAATAATATAACATGCAGCATGTGAATGTTTATGAGAAGATAAGTATATCATGAGGGCTATGTAGCTCATGTGGCTTTACCTTAGTGACGGGAACGCTGCGATGTATGCCCATTATTTTAACCGCACATATACCTTCCCCTGAATGCACCACAAACACCAAATGTGAAATTCTGAGTGTACTTTTTTTATCTACAGTCACCTTGGACTCTACCCATTTCATAATGTCTATGCTACATTAGGACACAATCAGAAATCCCTCAAAAAACTAACAAACAAGCAATCCAATTTCAAAGGAACTTCGAAAGAGCAGATCATTTAAATTCGACGCTGGTGAGACCAAAACCTGTGACAACATCTACAATTATCACACCCCACAAAAGGAGAAACATGATGCGACACTGAATCAATTGCATCAGTCATTTTCATAGAGGCCCACATGTAGATGATCACGATGACATTTGTCATCACAATTTCCTTACAATGAGTTCTTGGTAAGTCAAATCAAGAATGAATACATCAGCCCTTTCACAGTTTCTCTCAGACCACCTACTAAGTTCTAGTGCAGCTTTCTCACTGGCTAAAATGACTATGAATGGACTATGAATTTCATAAAAACTTTAGGCAGTATTTTACAAAAACAAACATGGGGGTTTGGCTGTACATTGTCCACAAATAAGGACTTTATGCCAAATGAATCAAAAGTCCAGGCAAAAGGATGACAGCACAAATAATATAACATGCAGCATGTGAATGTTTATGAGAAGATAAGTATATCATGAGGGCTATGTAGCTCATGTGGCTTTACCTTAGTGACGGGAACGCTGCGATGTATGCCCATTATTTTAACCGCACATATACCTTCCCCTGAATGCACCACAAACACCAAATGTGAAATTCTGAGTGTACTTGCAAAACTGTGGGAGAAGCATGCAAATATGTCTCAGTGGAAAAAATAACCGCACAAGCATTTGGGTTTTTAAAGAAACAGAAACTGAGCATAGCTTCCGTGTAAACACTTAAAGCCACACACACACACACACACACACAACAAAAACATAAGATCTTTCTGCATCAAAATACTATTTATACATTAATTTGCATAAAACATTATTTAAATGTGGTCCAGTGTCATTAATAAAAATACATTTAGTCTTTTTCTTTGCATAGACATTTTATGAATTGTCTAAACTTTCTACTTCTGATGGTTTTAGTCATCTTTGTAATAGAACCATGACAAAGCAATTGAACAAGCTAACAGTTTTGACAGCTTCTTTTTGAAATTCACAAATTTCTACAATACAACTACAAATACAAGACATTGGCTCTGTTTACACCTGGTATTAACATCTGTCTTGGGTGATTTGATCACAAGTGGTCGACCTAATCGCATTACTGCTTACACCACATGCACTTCAAACGTATTGGACGTTGGACCACTTGTGATTGGATTTCATCAAACTGGGGAGTTTTCCTTTCATGAGTGCATACATCACTGTCACTGTATCAATGCATGTGCACTACTGTTCAAAAGTTTGGGGTTGGGATTTTTAAAGAAGTCTCTTATGCCCGCCAAGACTGCAATTATTTGATCATAAATACAGCAAAACAGGAATATTGTGAAATATTATTTCAGTAATATTGTGAAATATTGTTTCAGAAATAATTCTAATATGCTGATTTGGTGCTCAAAATTTTTTTTTTTTCCATAATCAGTGTTAAAAACAGTTGTGCTGCCTAATACTTTTGTGTGAACCGTGACACATTTTGTCTTAAACAGCAATCTTTCATAACATTATAAATGCGCAGATAAAGCACAGAATAATAAACTAATATTATTATTAATAAAATATATTTATATTATAAAACACAAATAATATACTATAAAAATATATCTGAATTTTATCATTGCTATTTTTTTAAACACAAATATGATGATTAAAATGGAACACTCAGTTATTATTCATTAAATGAATTTCAGATATGATCTACATTTAGTTAACTTAACTTTTACCCCAAGAGAATTATCTGTGTCACTGCATATGGCATACTGAAGCTGTTCTGTGTAATCTGTATATGTATGGAATTCTATCATATTTTTCAAGATGATGCATAAACAGCAAACTGTGAAACGTTGACATTTTATCAGTGGTTGATTAAACAATTACACATTAGCATTTACACTAATGTATGTGCCACATGCAACACCCCTAAAATGTGGTTTCAGTGACTAGGTCCAAAACAAGACTTTGTTTACACCTGTACTGAACACTTGTGATTGGATCTCAACATGTATGTTAATACCAGATGTAAACATGTAAATCAGTACTCCTGAGAAGTAACAAAGTTTTGAGATGCATGACAATGTGTAACTGAGAGAGACGCTTTACTTGTTTTTTTTTGTGGTCCTAACTTACCTCAAGCTCCTTGACCTTTTCATCTGCCGTCTTCTGCTTTTCCAAAAGCTGATTGGCAATCTCATCTTTTGACTGTAAAATGAACCTGGAAAAAGTGAGAAGATGGTCAAAACAGTGAACAACAGAGTTAAAAAAAATAAATAAAAACTCATTTAGGGCAGATTTTACAGCAACAAAATGTACATACATGCGTCCTGCTCCCTCATACATGCGAGTGCTGTCAGGGAGCGATGTGATCTCTGCGTGCGTGAGGTTGGCGTGCTTCTTCATGCGGCTCAGCTGTTCGATCTGCAGGTCTGCCAGCTTCACCTTCTGCTGAGTGTCAACCATTTTAGCCTGCAACACTGCAAAGGCCTGTGGCATACAGATGTGAGGATTGCAGTTTGAGTTAAATGAGATCTTAAATGCAATATCATCTACTTTTCTCATGCCTTTAAAAATGTTTTATTGGATGTGAATGAGAAAGTTATTATAGAAGTACCTGAAGAAGGGTTGTTCTATATACTACAAACTCAACCATATGGACTAAAGTGCAGAAATGACTGAAAATGCACACTAGACTCTTTAAACCTTTTTGCAAAAGGTTTTTTATTTTAATCATACATTTCATCAAAAAATATCGCAGTTACGAATAATTAGCAACAAAGTAAACATTAAATAACCAAAATGACAGCTATATTTTGAAAGCTTCGTACATCGTTTGATGTATGTATACATATTAATTTATAAAGGGTTTACAGTAGTAAAGGAATTCACAGTACTAAAAGTGTAATATCTATGATATTTTGACTTTATACCAAGAATAAGTAAATAAAACTGAAAAGCATTATAGTGCACCGAGGTTGCATATTGGTATATCACATCGCTTTTACAGTTCCATGCCATAATTCTAATCTACCCGAGTTTAAAAACTCTTTACTCGATTAATTTATATTGACGAAGCATTAAACCCGTTTAGTTTCTATGAATAAATCTGTATACCCTCGTTTACCTTTTTCAACTCAAGGTCTACGGGAGCCGCCATGATGCTGAGTAGAACGAGGCACTGCGCATGCGCAAACTGGCCGCGAACGCTAGTGAAAGGTCTGCCTAGACCCCCTCTCGCCTGGACAGCATTTTCGGTTTCGGACAGACGGCTGGTTCTCAAAAATGCTCTCTAGATAGGCAGCACGGTAGGTTTATAGAAACAGCCTCAGTTTTAAAATAGTGTAGCACAGGAATGGCACGGTGCATAAGATATTAAACGTGTGCAAGACTTTATATTTATTGTGAATAATACTGTAAGTGTAATGTTTCAAAAGCCAATGCTGCCTTTTCTATTTTTACAGCCAGTTTTGCACTACATCTGGAATGTTTCAATTCAGTGCTACATTGCTCAAGAAAATATCTGTAATTATTAACATGTTAACATGTTGTTTTGTCTTGTAAAGTCATGTATGTTCTGCACTATGGCTCAAGGAGTCACTTTATTTAGTTTCTTCTGCCATACAGGAGACAAACTATAGTAAACCAACCAGCACATGCACATTCCATGATGTATACCAATACATATACAAATGTATATGAGATGTATATCACAAAATAACATAACACAACATATTCATTCCCACCCCAGTGACCTCTCAATTTTTTAAACTTTACAAAAAAATAAATAATACAAGACAAATATGCTACAACATATATTATAACATACATTATATATTATAATAATATAAACACTGAAAATAAGATCACAGACAGTCACAATGTTTTTTAAACAATTGTTTATTAAAGTGAAACAGTAATTTCATTGGTTGAAAATATTTGGTTATCATTGCTTAAAATTAGTAAATGAAATCATGTTATTTTATACTATACACAGTACTTAAAAATATTTTGATAAACATATTCTAGTTTATTTCACTTAATTTAAGCTACACTTTCTCAGTAATGGATATACCTACAAAGCCCTGTGTCAGACATTCCTCCACAGTATGTGATTTAATTTATTGCATTTTTAGAGCTCCACAAATCTGTTTATTTCACAGTTTAGCTATAATATTATTAAAACTATACTGGAGGGTCTTCCATATGTGATTGTACAGTCTGTTATGCAACTTCAGTCCTATTATTATTTGATTGTATCTATCAATAATAAATATCTATACAATAAAAACATGTACAAAACTAACAGTGCATTCAGTACACAAAATTGTTACATATCAAAATAAATAACCAATACATTATAAATAAATAATTACAAGTGCTTTGTGGTGTTTCCGACAGTACTATAGATTTAGACTGATGGGAGAAACGCTCTGGTTACAAACGTAACCTCGGTTCCCTGAGATAAGGGAACGAGCGTTGCGTATACATGCTTATGAGGGAAACTCCTGTTTACTCTGATACTGAAGCCTGATTTGTTCAAGTTCATATACCTGCATGAACAAATGGCGCTTCAACCTGCCAAAAGGGGAGGGGCCGACTACTATATAAGTTGGCTCAAAGCGCCATTCGTCAGAATCTTTCGACTGTCAGCTGCAGCCATCGTCTCGCGTGCAGACTTATAGCACGACAACTTACGTAACACTCGTTCTCTTATCTCAGGGAACCGAGATTACGTTAGTAACCGGAGCGTTCCCTTTCGAACGGTCTCTCCCGTTGCGTATATACGGTTATGGGGAACGCAGCCAAATAGCACTGTGCTATAAGTAATTGCATAACTAAGAAGTTCTGCGTGTCGAAATAAGGGCCCTTAAGAAGCATGAGTATGAATGAGCCCTGAGCTTAACTCGCTGGGGACTACATAGTAAAACATACATAGGACGACCAGTCGGCGGCCGCACAGATATCGCCAATAGAGATCCCACTGGACCATGCCCAGGAGGAGGCCATTCCTCGAGTTGAGTGGGCCCTCACCCCAATAGGGCAGTGAGCTCTCTGTGGCATAAGCCAGGGCTATAGCATCGACTATCCAACAAGAGTCATTGTTTCATAACCGGCAGCCCTTTAGAGCAGCCTCCGAAGCATACAAAGAGCTGCTCCAAGTGTTGAATCGGGCCAGAGCACTCAACATACACTCTAAGAGTCCTAACAGGGCAGAGTGGATTGGGACCCTGCTCGTCCTTTGAACTAGGAAGAGCTAGAAGGGTAATAACTTGTGCTCTAAACAGGGTTGAGAGCACCTTAGGCACATAGCCGCGTCTTGGCTTGAGGATGACTTTACAGTCGTTAGACCCAAACTCAAGACATGAGGCACTGACTGACAGTACTTTCAGGTCACCTACTCACTTGACCAATGCTAATGCCAAGAGGAGGGTGGTCTTGACCGACAGGTGCCACAAATCAGCCAACTGGAGCAGCTCAAAGGGAGGACCTCGTAGGGCCCTAAAGACTATAGATAAGTCCCAAGTCGGCACAGAGTGAGGACGAAGCGGGTTCAACCTCCGAGCTCCCCTCAGAAATTTAATGACCAGGTCATTTTTACTGACTTATTGGCCAGCCACGAGAGCATGATTCACTGCGATGGCTGCCACATAAACTTTTGAGTGTGGAACATTGGGTGCGCCCTTTATCCAGCAACTCTTGTAAAAAGGTTAGCACGTGTGGCACGTCACAGGAGGACGGGTCCAGGCTGCGTGCTGTACACCAGTCAGGAAGGCATACAAGTGAGCGCAGGGCCAATCGTGGGCCCGGGCATCTTGGTGCTTCAAAAAGTAAATTGGGCAGTAAAAGTTGTCTTCTTAGGCGAAGAGGTCTACCTCTGCCCTCTAGAAGACAGACCAGATCATTTGAACCGGGGCGAGCTACACTGCCCCTGTACAACATGTCATTTGAGCTGGATCGAACACTGTCCCCAGGAAGACGATTCACTGGCTGGTTGACAGAACTCTTGGCTAAATTGATCTTTAGCCCAAGTCGCTTTAGATGGTTGAGTAGCAACGATATGTGAGCAATAAGTTCCTGCTCCGACCTGGCTAGCAACAGCCAGTCGTCAAGGTAATTCATGGTGCGGATTCCCATCTGCCTCAGAGGGGAAAAGCCGCATCCATGCACTTCATAAATGTGCGTGGGGCCAGAGACAGTCCGAATGGAAGGACTGTATATTGATGAGCCACCCCCTCGAATCTGTTTCTAAGTTTGCATCTTGAACGGCCATTTCATAAGCGTGCGGTTTAGATGCCTGAGATCGAGAATGGGCCTGAGCCCGCCATCTTCCTTGGGAACGAGGAAGTAGCAGTTGTAAAAGCCTGACTCGCTGTTTGCTGGGGGAACGGTCTCTATGGCTCCTTTTGCAAGCAATGTTTGCACTTCGGCCTGGAGAAAATGAGCATCGTTGTGCTATACCGAAGTTTGAATAATACTTCTGAAGCGAAGTGGCCTGTGAGCGAACTGGAACGAGTAACCTCGTTCTATGGTTTTTACAACCCATACAACCTTACACTTTTACAACCTGACACATCCGGGATAGCTTTCCAAGCCTGAAGCCAGATGGACAGTGGTTTTAGCTTTTCGATTGGCAGATTGCCACTATGGGGTAGGGAACTGACCGCCATGGCAGTGAGAAGAGGAGAATTGCTCTTTTGAGCATGTGGGTCCGCTGTCATAGCAGTAATTTTATTGGGCTGAAGGGCGGGTCCAGTTAGAACAGAGCTTCCATCGCCTACAAGGCTGGGGAATGGAAAGCAGACATGAGCCTTCTTTGAGGGAAATCCAGCCTCTGTGAGACTTAGCCCTTTCCTCTTCCTCTCTTGCTGATCAGGACAGCTTTTGAGGCTCAGGATCCAGCGTCAGATGTGGGTGGGGTCCTTGGCGTTTCGGAAATGGAAATCGTTTCGCCATCTTGAAGCGCTGTTCAAGCCCAGGCTCAGATCTCAGAGGAGGCTGGGACTTTAATGGCGCAGCTTTGGCAGGCTGTTGAGTGGATGGAGCCTTCTGGTGACTTGTAGCAGCCACCGAACTGGAACGTTTTGGCATGAAGTCCTGCATAGCTTGCGAGGATTTCTGAGCTGCTGTAAAACGCTCAGTGAATCCATCCACGGCTGGGCCAAACAGTCCCTTTGGAGAGACAGGAGAGCGACTCTGTCAGCGTCCCTGATTTCAGTTGAGTTAAGCCAAAGGTGGCACTCCAGCACCACGTTGGCTATGGCCTTGACGATCGCCTGCACAGTGGCCTTTTTAGTGCGCAGAGCCAGGGCAGTCACTGTGCGCAGTTCTTTGAAGGCCTCAGGACTCTGTCCAGACTCATCCATGCCATGGAGGAGTTTGGCCTGAAACACTTGTAGCACCGCCATCTTTTGAAGCGCTGAGCCAGCCTGGCCAACCGCTACATAGGCTCTATTCGCCAGAGCGGAGGTCGTTCTGCAGGGCTTAGACGGATGCACTGCATGAGCTTTTACCCCCAAAGCTGATGGAGGGCACAAATGAGCAGCAATCGCCTCTTCCAAAGGGGGGAGCTTGCTGTATCCTTTTTCTTCAGCACCATCAACAGAGGTGAGAGCAGCAGAAGTGGAAGAGTTAACACGAGCTGAATAGGAGGCGTGCCTTCGTGAGAACGCGGATCAGCTCGCTGTCCACGCTGGGCCGTATTGGTTGAAAGGATGGGAGGGGATCCGGGTCCTCACCAGGACATGCCCAGTCCTCTGTGTCAGAGGCCGTCAATGACATAGAGGGGCGCTGGCCCTCACGTGTGAAACACACCAGCGAATCGAGGTGCTGCGGGAAGAGTGAGGTACATGGGACTTGAGCCAGCATGACATCACTTGAGCCCAGGGGATTCCTGCTGCCCCGATGTTTCTTCCTCCGAGGCTCCTGGGTGGGGAGAAATGAGGAAGCAGGCTGTGGAGGACTGCCTCTGTTGAAAAGGACGATCCGAGAGTGAAGCTCTCGCAATTAGGGTAATCAGTCCCGGTGAGCGCAGCCCAGTCAAGCGACACACTCACCGTGCCCATCTGCTTTTGAAATTTGCTCAGAATTTGCTCTTTTAAGTTGCCGGATGGCTGCAGGGAAGGAGCTCAGCGATCTTCCGCTGCCAGGGGCTGGTCTACGGCGAGCTGCTGAGCTCCGGCTTCTAGCGTCAGCTTCGGCGTCGGTTTCTTGCTTCAGAGTCCAGCAAGGAGTCGCTGAAGGAGAAAATTTTGACGAATGGCGCTCTGAGACGACTTATATAGTAGTTGGCTCCCCGCCTTTTGGTGGGTTGAAGCACCATTTGTTTGTGCAGGTACACGAACGTGAACAAATCAGGCTTCAGTATCAAGAGTAAACAGTAGTTCCCCCATAAGCATGTATACGCAATGGGAGAGACCATTGGAAAGGGAACCAGAAACACCCTTTTTGAAATAAATAAATAAGCAACAAACAAAAAAGCAACTTGATTAAAGTCACAATACATTCATTCGGTTCAGTCCTCTCAGTATGTTCTCCACAAGGGGAATACATTGATAAGGACATTGTACTGCACATGGAAGCAGCATTCAAAACATCCTTCATGCCAGTGTAGACAGCCACCATGACTGCAGGACATCAAGGGCATAGGATCAGTTTGAATGGGGGCTATCTATCCATGGGTCACATGTCCTTTTGGCTTTCTTCGCCCTGTAAAACAGTAATAAATATTATTTTGTATTAATTTTAATAAGAAACAAATAAAATCTGGCCATTCATTGAGAACTATTTACCTTTCTTCCCTTATCACTTCTGTACTGACGTTGCTTCAAGTTTGACCTTTTCTTCTCTTTCTACATCAGCATCATCTTTTTTGTGGTACCTGTAAGAAAAACATGCTGAATATCTAAGGAATTTTGTAAAACATCAATGGTTTAATAATTAAGAATAATATAATGCTGATTCATGGTAACTCACCTTAGTGCCAGCAGAATAGCGATGATTGCGAGACACATGAGGGATAGGACCACAGCTATGACCGCTAGAGCTGTGGTCCGGCTGTAACGCTGTTCCTCCTTACCAACTGGTAGGGTAAATATATGGCATCTCTCTCCTGAGTATCCTGCTTTACAACTGTAAGAAAGACCATCCAAAAGATCAAAATTAGTTCAACCGCACAACAGGAGAATCATATCAAATAAATAAATTCATTCATTCATTAATTAATTTATTCAAATATTCATTTAGATTAAATTCCTATTCTGTAAAAGCAATAATTCTGTTATCTTTTATCATTCTACTCTTTTTCTGCTCTAATTTTGTGCTATCCTGATCTACTATTCAAACTGTATATTGTAATATTGCTGATATTGGGGGCCTTTATATGATTAACTGCTTGTTTTTTTCCCTCATTTGTAAGCAGCTCTGGATACTGCTAGATGAATAAAAGTAAAGGTTAAGCCTAAAACAAAAGATGTCCTTAATTTGTTGAACAAAAACTGGAAAAAACTAAAGAGCTGTATGAAACTCACACACAAGAATGAGTGTTCAACTCCTTCAGATGCTGACACACTCCGTGAATGCAAAAATCTTTGTATTCCTCCAGGCAGGGGTTCTTCTTTCTTCCCTTGCCTTTTCCTTTGCCCTTCCTTTTTCCTTTTTTTGTCTTCTTCTCAGTAGTGGGAATCACTGATGGATGTTTGGGTTTGGTGGAAAATGCCACTGTTAAGCAAGAAAGAGCGGTGATGTCAGTCCATGATGATCTAATATCATACAATAGTCTAACACTCAGTTCATATATTCCCGTATTCACTAGCATTTCCTGTGAAAGTATACGGCACTTAGTTTTATTATTATTTTTAATAATAAAATAATAATCAATTGGTTTAACATAAGTAGTTATTCCACAAAGTGTGACTTCAAAATGTACTTTTTTATATTTGAAACAATTATACTATAAAGTATATAATATATATATATATATATTTTTTTTTTTTTGCAGTAAAATGTAGGCATATGGGCACTAAGCATTGAAACACTAACTGACCACTTTTACAAATTGCATTCAAAGAAATTAAGCAACTCTACCTCTTGGCTGGTTAGAGTCATAATCCTCAGAGAGATAACCGTCTTCATCATAATCGTTATCTTCATCCACAATAGTCCCACTGTCCACCTGGTGCTCCGTTGTGTTTATTTTCTCTAGGGTGTGAAAGAGGTTGACCACTGTGGTTCTGGGTTTGGCACTCTCATACCTGTCCACAGAGGCGCCACTGCACACCTTGAGTAACACTGGAACAGAACAAGACACTTTATATATAAAACACATATTTTGTGTATCTTGCATACAGTCAATATGTAAACGAAAAAGAAAAAACAAATGGCAAAACTGAAAGCTGATGGTGATTATAGATACGCGTATAATGCAAAATGTTAAATCAAACCACGGAAAAAATAGGGAATAAAATGAGTAATCTGTCAAACGTGGTTAGAATAAGCTCGACAAATCATTTACTTTTAAAATAAAAAATGTCGCTGAAAAGGTCTCGCACTCATTTAAGAACCTCGTGTAACAAAGTGCCACATATTGGGCAGGTCCGCGTGCAAGATATAACAGCATATTTCATTAAGAAGTCATAGTTTTAAACACTCACCGAAACCACATACGAGAAAGATCACGATTCGTAACGTATACATATTCCTTTTAGTATAATCCGAGATATTACAGGATCAGAAGTTGGTCTCACTGTAACGTTACCTCCTCGCCTCCAGCACAGTCCGCGATCTGGACGCAAATGCGCGTGCTGGGGACCGTGTCAAAAGTCTCGTGCGGAGTGCTGGGAACAAAAGCGCGCGCGGGTGCAGTTATATAGACCCGACACACACTTCCCTTTTATGAATTATTGGCCACACCTAATCAATCATCAGCACATAAGGCACAAAGCTGATATATAGTCCATCTAGTGAAGATTGATTAAGAATTTGACACGTCAATAATTTGAGGGGACAGCAGTGTCACAGGTTTATTACTGTCAAGTTAATAATAAATCCATTTTAAGATGGAAACTAGCTTCTAGATTCCAACTAGCTTCCAACTACTATGATCCAAAAAACCGCTTTAACTTAAACTGGTATGACCAACTCATAGCTGGTTTAGTGATTATCCACAAGTTTGGACCTGCTATGAGTTTAAACTGAATTTATCAGCAGTGAACCAATATATCATCAGTAAAAGATTGGGTCATGCTTTAAAAATATTATATATATATCCCGCTAACTTTTGTATGCCTGTGATTTTTTTAAATAGAAAATGGATGATAAATCGGTTAAAACAAAAGTTAAAACTGTCTAAAATCACTGATTACTTTTAAATACATGCATTTTCATGTATTATTTCAAGATACAGAAAACGTTCATGACAGTTCATTAAAAAATTGTGATCATTATCTGTAGTTGGATCACTGGCACCACCTTGTGCTCAAAATAATAATCTGACAATATGCAGACATAATCCATAAATTCTAATCTTTTTTTATAATCATTAGTGAGGAGCTGCCTAAAAGAAAGCCTATATTAGTCCAGTCATGCTAACTTGGTTGTTCTTGAACTACAGTTTATTGTTGGACCTTTGTTTTAACCTAATGATTTTGTCTGACAGAAAAAAAGACAAAACAATGTGCATAAAGCAGAGACAACACATTTGTGAATGTTTATTAACCACATAAGAAATCAAAGACAGACCAATAGAGCGAATAGCGACATTTACAATAATGAAAATTAAAATATGCATCTTGTGAAGTAGCCAGACAAGAAAAGAAAAACATTTTCCAGTTTATTTTTAAAAATCAGTTTCAACAGTTCTTTCCGCATTATAAAAAGTGGAGTTGCAGCACCTCGTGCCATGAGAGGCTGGTGTTCTATAGTCTCTGAAGTGAACAATTTATCTGGAGGATATTTACAAGCATGGGGCTAATGGACAATTGCCATGACTTGAGCTCAACGGCTGATCCTTCAACTCAGGAATTGCAGGAAATGTAATACTGATTCCAACACTGAGGTTCAGAGTACAGGTGGGCAAGGAGTGAATCTGATTCTTCCCATAGCCGTCATCAAAAAACCAAAACCAGATGGCCTCAGCAAAATCGAGAAGTCCCAACACTCAAATATATTCCTTCAGGTGCGTCTACATGCCCCAGCCCCCTCCCATGCCATTCATGCTGACTGATCCACGGCTGCCGCCATAATAACTGCTGTTCATTCCACCCTGGCTATCTATTGAAGTACAGAAATAAACATGTGAAAACCAGAAGAGTGTGCAAAATTAGAAAATATACAACTAAAAAAAGGTACAAAGTTAAAACCCACTGTAGTCATTGTAGCCTCCCATGCTGGACTGGTTGCTGTATCCTCCAGTGTAGCCTCCACCCATCTGCTGCGCTCCATGTCCATAAGACGACTGGTTTCCTAGAAAAAAATTAAATAATAATAATAATAATATTATATACACACACAAACATATATATATATATATATATATATAAATAAATAAAAGCACTAGTTTAGTCTCAGACTCAGTACAGCTGCTTCTCTATTATTCAGGGTTTCTCCAAGTTTTATGAAGGTAAATTTAAGACCAAGTAAAGAAAGTTCAAGGAATAAACTGAATGCAACACAATATGTCAATATGGTCTCGAAATGTCATGCATTGTATTAGCAATACTTCAAAGTTTGATAATACAACTTCCAACAGGTCTCCATTACCTTTTAATTAATAAAAAATACAAAATAAAAGTTTTGGGCTTAAATACCTCTGCTCCCAGCCACTACAATATGGAAATCATCTGCATTTTTGTCTTGTTTTTCGATGCAAAAGTCCAAAAATTCTTAGACATTTACGTGATGAGAAGCAAAATTACATAAGTCTAGTTTTAAGAATATAACATTAATTAAATAATTTAAAAAACAATTAAATTGTTCAATTTCCCAGAAAACAAGACTTCATATCTTCAACTTGCATCTTAAGTAAATGTGTCTTGATTTAAGGATGTTTAGATATCTGTATTGGAAAATCTCTTTTATTTACGAAAGCGTGAATTAAGACTTTAAGACCTTTTAAGACAGGCAGAAACCCTAATTATTGTGCCATTACCATCACATCAACTTGCCCTTCTCAATTTAATTTGAAAATTCACAGTAGTTATACCATTAACTTACCCATCCCCCCAATCATCTGCCCGCCATAGCCCCCGTTACTGCCCCCTGCTGTTGAGTTTAAGAATAACTCAACATAACGGTGTTCTGAAAAGGAAAAAGGGGACTGTTTATATACACAAGATTCCCTTAATTAATAACAGTAACACAAAAACAATTCTTTCTAGTCAGGATACACCTAACTTACGCATGTTGGCTTTGTCCTTTGACATTGCAGCCACTGCATCTTCATGTGTCGCAAATTCCACGTCAGCTTCACCAGTTACCCGCCCATCTGGCCCAATCTCAATGTGCACACGCACCGGGTTCAGAGGAGAGAAAAACTGCACAGAAAAAGTTTAACTTAATTTAAAATGCATATATTTTTAACATCCAAATATATTTCCAAATGACCTTAATTTTCATAAGTCATAAATTAAGCATATTAAACGGCTCCAACTTACATTGTAGATGTCGGGTTCTGTTGCCCGGTAAGGGAGTCCCCTCATATGAACACAATGACCTGTGGTACTCTGAAAATTACCACCATCACCATAACGTCCATCTGAGGCTCCTATTAAAAAAAAATACACAAGTAAAATCAAAGAAAGCACATGCAAGATGGCTAAAGCACAAAAATGTGGCACATTGGCAAAAGCAGCTGGTCTCACCTCCACCGTATCCGCCACGTCGCATCCGATCAAAGGATCCCCCACGACTCATGCCATTGTAGCCTCGGCCTCCTCCGCTGGGTCGGTCGTAAGGTCCTGGTCTCTGCATGCCAGTGCCTTTACGTGGGGGTTCATAATGTGTCCGCACTTCAGCTCGGCTGCTCTTAAAGATCTCAATATACCTACAACCGTACACATGAGCATTAAGGTGCAATGCAAGAACTCAACACAGACACTCCTGTTCAGAAGCAAAACGGACACCAAAGAAACAAAATTATAAGTATGACTCTGTAAACATTCCCCTGTGCTACATGTACAATATACATGCATTTGAGTGTTTGATATTAATAAGCATTTTTGACCATCTTATTCACAAATTTATATACGTCTCCATTCTAGAGCTTTATAAAAGAACATTTAGCCCTTCTATAATTTAAAAATAAAATAGTATACCTTTAATAGTTGACGCAAAAATGAAAATGTACTCACATCTTGAATGGCCTGAGGGTGTTCAAACGTTCATTTTTGGGTCAACTATTCCTTTAATAATATTGTTGCTGTATCCCAAGTAACAAAATTCAAAGCTTTTTAAACAACTGTTAAATTTTGCTGTGCCATCCATGCATTCAACTTTCAGCATAACAGAAAATAGAGACCCATTACACAATCCAGTCTAAAATGGTATTCAAACCGGCTGCTGCAAGGCACTCATTTGCATACTTAAGAATTAGAAAATCCCAAGATGCCCACGTGCACCATTGCAATGCACTACATATGCATTCAGCCTTTTTGAATCCAGACATTTTCATGACTGCTCACAAATAAAAACATAAGAAAACAAAACAGCAGGAATCCATCAAGGCCCTGGGAGCCCTCTGGTAAAGACGTGTGCTTGTCCATGTGGCGTGTTTAAGTTCATGTTGCATACCACTTTGAATGTTTACTGTAGTAGGTGTTTACCACATGAAAAACAGCTATCCGTGAAAATCCAACCATCCATCCCCACCTGTGCCCTATTCTTTCCTTGTGTTTCTTTAGAGCCTTTTCGGCTATATCCTGTGAAGCAAACTGCACGAAGGCCTCCCCCGTACTCCTCCCCTGGAAGTCCACCGGCAATGTTATCCCATTTGGCACGATTTCCAACCCTTCAACCCAAGGACAGATAACCCCAACGGGGACATATTAAATAAATCACATGCCCATTTACAATGTCTGTTTTGTTGTTGTTTTTTCTTGAATGAAAATAAGGAATTAAAACAAAAAAGCATATTGCAATGAAGCCTACTGGGAGAGTTCCACCACTTGGGAACATGGCCTACAAGTGGGCAAGCATTCCACTAACTTGGCTTAGCCTTGATGATAAAGTGGCCATCCCAAAAATTGGTAGCTAACAGAGGAATAATCCTAATGTAGCAGAATAATTTGGGGCAACAGTGCTGGATTAACTAACGAATCGTGTCAAATTATTCTAGCAACCATGGGAATGGTCAGATTCACCTCAATGAGTACTACGCTTGGCCATTACTTCTCCCGATGACTATGTGAAGGGCTGCAAGGAGGCGTTTGAATATACCTGAGAAAAACTGCACAATCTCTTCCTTGCTACATCCAAATGGAAGGCCGCGCAATCTGACCAGTCCATCTCCCTCTGTCTCTGGACAGTTTGGACCAGTGTGCTTCATAACCCAGTCCATTTCCACATTGTTTGATTTGAATACTGAGAATAAGATCAGAAAGAAGACAATTCAAATTGTGAGGTAGTGCTGCGATTTACAATAGCGGGTGAGGCAATGTTTTTTTTAAAGAAGCCTTATATGCTCAACAAGGCTGCATTTACTTGATCAAAAATACAGTAAAACTAGAATAGTGAAATATTATTCAGTTTAAAGTAACTCTTTAATTTTTATTTGAATATATTTTTAAAATGTAATTTATTTCAGCAGCCATCAGTTTCACATGATACTTCAGGAATCATTCTAATATG